CAATCAAAGGGTGAAATCAGAGATAAGCACAAATCTGATTTAGAAGAGATGTAATGTAGTTGAAGGACAGACGTGAGAACCTTCTCCTGCCAAGGAAGCAGACTGCATCACTGGCAACATCAAGATTTGTTGCTTTGTTTCTGTCAAACTCATAAGAAGAGTTGCAAAGCTTTCAGGGGTGTGTTGGTTTGGGGTTTTTTTGGTGGTGGTTTGTTTTTGTTGGTTTGTTGGTTTTTGGTTGTTTTTTCTTTTGTAAGTTATGCATTTGCAATTGCCTTAAACTCTAAATTAAAAAGGCTGCTTTATCAGAATTATCATCTTCCAAGAAGATTCATTATCTTCTCCCACACAACTTCTGAGGTCTACAAAATCCACAGTACATCTTCCTAAGCAGACAGTTACAACCACGTTATTTTTTCAGCAATATGCTTAATGCAGTGCCTCACCAAAGATTTACAACCAACCTAACAGTTATGAAGGAATTACTGGATTTGGCAGATTATGCAGAAGGATGAACATAGTTCAGATATTTAGGTATTTTATTTATATCCCACTGACTTCTGCTAGGTCAGTCACCTAGTAGAGTTTTCATTGCCACGTCCCAAGTCAGGTGGCAGCAAAGACAACGCCAGGTGTCTTTCAAATACACTGACCTCAGACCAACCATTAGATAATCTTCCTAAATCACCAAAGCACCTATTGTTCATTATTTGTGAGCCAAGAGCAATAAAATCAGGAGTACCAATATAAAAGCCTATTAAAAAAACCCAACTTTTGTAGTACAGTCAAGCATAACCACTTGTATTATCAGCCTCAAATCTGTTCATCACAGGTACCTCTTGCTAGTATATTAATAGTGAAATAGCACAATCTTCTCTCTACCTGTGATGAAACAATGGAAAATCCATTTGTTTACTTCTGTTTCTAAACCTCAAAGCCAAATTTAAAAATTATGACTATGTTATAAGGCTCTTCAACAGAACAAAGTGTTCTTGCATGAACACTAGCAGTAGAAGTCTTAAGGAAAAAAAAATTGTTAACAAGTTAGACATGAATTGTGTGAAATGACCAATTCAAAAGTCAGACATTTCTAGGGTTCAAAGTTAATAGGAAGGCTTTTTGCTTTGTTTTTAACTTGATAACGTTCTGACTCTGGCTAATATATTAGACAGCTGGCAAGTCAGAGAAGAATGATGAAGAAAGGGTGTGCAAGCAAACCCATCACTGAAGTAATAATAAATCACTGATTACAGATAGGAGCTATAACTAATGCCTTTAAGTAATACCCTTTAACGTAACAGCAGACACCTCAAAGCACAGCTCTGTGCTTAAAAAACAGTGCAGCCATCTCTGCTTCTCAGTATCTAGTCTCAGTCCAATTTATTCTTACACTCACCTTACTTTCCCCCTTCAACAATGCACTAAGTAAATATTAGTAATTCTATACCGACTTCACATGAATTAAAGAATAGTGAGAGCGTGCCCCAGGCCATGGCTGAGGAAGAAAGCTTAAATAACTACTGGACATACAGAATTTAAACATGCATTATCCATTTTTCATTCATTACATTAAGACAAATTATTTATGAAGTATAATAAATTAATCCCTTTTTATTAACAAAACTTGGAGAAAAATCATGAAGTATCTTGAATGGCTCGAGCCAGCCTCTAAGAATCCTAACAACTACTAGCATAGAACACATGTGTAAGCAACTAAAGACACGAGCAAACAGTGAAGAAAAAAGAAAACAACGCCTTCCCCTTAAGAAAAACCTCACTAAAAGGTTGTCAGCTAAACAAATTTTTTTTTTTGGTCTTTCACACTGCCTTACTGAATTGATTTCCTGTTGTGAATCCTGCAGATGTTGCTGAAGAGGTCCCAGCTGTGCTTTCCCAGACTCTATGCAATGCTCAAGCTCTGCAGTTTCTTGCTGCAGGCGACTCAGCTCCTCTTGAGCTTTGGTCAGTTCATCTTCATACGCTGAAATCTTTGATTCCTGGCTTGTTATTTCAGCCTTCAGCATGGCAATCTAAAGCATGAACAAATATTTCAAAGCCAAATCAAAAAACCGACCTCCAAACACATCCAAATACTCTTACTTATAACCAGAAAAAGTAAAAACCTCATAGCTATTGCAGAGATTATAGATCATACTTGAATGAATGGTTAATTTCCTATTGGTCTCTATAAGATCATAGTATTCTAGCTGTTTTCCTGACCAACAGAGATATTTCTAATACTGAAAACATCATTTTAGATCTTAAAGAAATACTCTAGCTTTATATTAGGAAAAAATCTACATAACCTTAACATGATTTTTTTTAACTGCTAAGAAATCAGTCCCAGTAATTAGTCCTTCTAATTACACTTATATTGAATTCTAATTTTTTCTAATTCTAATTTGTTTGCACTTAACCTTATTTGTATGCAAGTATATCTCAGTATATTTGTTGACACACTGATACTAAATTAGGAGGTCACTGAAATGAGTGACATATTTCCTATTCTCTGTTGGTCACAAAAACTTGACGCTCAGGCTGTTTATTCATTAAAGTTTTTTCTCCTGCTCCAACAACTATAACACTGTAAGGCTGAGTTCTTCAAAATGAAGCATTTACTCTTTCAAGGGCCTTAGCCTATAGACCTTACCAAATGGGCCTCCTCTGCACACTTCTGCCTGATATCATCAAGTTGTTCTTCCAACTTGGCCTTCTGCTCATCAAGATCATTAAGGATTTCCTGCGCTTCCTGTTTCTGAGCTTGCAGCTTTTGCAGATTACTGCTCTCCCGCTTTACTTCATCTTGTAGATCCTGTAATAAAACAGATGAGCTTTGCATTTGTTCCCTCTCTCCTCCTAACCACTAAATTCCACAGTATAAACTGCAGTACCAACTCAAATTTCAAAGTATCAACAAATTATCTTTCAAAAGCTAGCATTTATAACATGTCAGAATTTGAGAATACTTGCTGGTCTAGTTCTAAGACATAAAAATAACCAGGTTATTTGCTCTCTCTTTAGTAAAAAGAATCTCACTGAAATACTGAAGATTGTGCATCAACACAGAGATTAACTGTTCTACTCACAGGGAGGTTAGGGCTTCATTTTGAATTTAGAAGTTGTCTTTATTCAGGCTGCTACATTGCCTCTATCCTATGCTTTAGCAATATGTTTTACTGAGTTCCTTAATAATAGAAATTCTTTATTCTGCTCCTTCCCTCTTCAAAAACACATGGCCAAAAATAGGAACTTGTTTTAGCAACGTGGTAAAGGACCAAACCGGTGCATTATTAACCCAAATGCACTCCCTTCTCAGCCTCCCTGCCTCTGATTTTGCAAAAAAAATCAGGCAAAAATTTATTTTCCATGTAACAGTACTGGTAAGAAATGCACATTCCATACACAACAGTATGGCATCTATTAATTTATGAAACAGCTGTAAGTATGCATCTTATGTTCTAAGTACATTAAGTAGCATCATATGATGAGTTCATTTCTGAGCAAGAGGAATGGTTATACTTCAACAAACTGCAGAGATACCATTGAAAAAATGTCAAGAATTTAGGACAAAAAGAATTGTCAAAGTCAAGAGGAAGAGAGAATACAAGGAGATCGAAAAGGATTAATACAAAAGGAAAAGTATTAGATGAAAAGAGAAGATTGCAGCCTTTCTGAGAAAATATGGTAATTGAAGGAAGAATCATGAACAACAGTAAAAGACGAATGGAGATAAAAGAAAATTAAGGAGGGTAAGAAAACAAGCTGACATGAATTTAGATCATACATTCGTGTGCTACTCTAAGCTTTTCTAGAAGTGTTTTGTTTGGGGTTTTTTTTGATGAGGGAGATAGTTTAGCCATGTGTGCTAACACCTCCAGATGATTATCTGGACAAAAAAAGCCAGACAGAAACAGAAAGGCATATGGTGGAGCAGTCAGATGCTAGGGAAATAGGTAGCCCAAAGACAACTGGAAAACTACCTAAAGAAACATCACAGATGCTTCCACGGAAAAAAAAAAAAAAGCAAGCCAAAAAACCAAAAACAAAACCCAAACAAACAAAAAAAACCCAAACCCCAAACAAAACACAAAATGCCAAAAAAAACCCGCACAAAAAACCCCAAATCATATCTGAAGTTCAGCAAAGGGTATATGACTGATGTACAGCAGTCAGACTAGGTGAATTACTGGTTATTTCTAATCTAGGAAAGACAAACCAGCGTGCACACCAAAAGCTCTTACAGCAGCTACTGACTTGGATAATTGGGACACTCTTGATCCATTAATTTTTTACATTGCTTTGAAAAGCAAGTATCAGCTGACACTCAACACAAGCAATGGAGAAAAAAAGTAACAGCTTAAAGAGATTTCAGTCTCCTTTCTCCAAAAGGAAGCAAGAATTCACACACACACAATATAGATCACCTCCACTCTTCCTACTGTTCCTTGAATCCCAATGTCTGTCCTCGGCACAGCAGCAGAGAAGCACTGAAGAGACCTGACTAAGCCTGGTGGCTCCCAGAAGAGAAAAGAAGGAAAAAACACCCAACCAAACCCCAAAACCAAACATGTTCATGTAACCACTCCAAAATTAAAGGTCAGAGTAGATACAATACACGGACCTGGGGCTAATACTCAAAGATACATCTCCATGAAGTAAACCAGGCTCCAGTTAAGCTTTGATTTCAAAGAACACCCTTAGCCGAGAAGCATCATCTTAATGTTCAAGCACCAAATGAGATTCTACATGAAAACCATTAACATATTTGAGGTGGTACAAACTAGCATTTTTATGGTAATCGTAATCCTTGTATTAGATTTACAATCATTATAACTCTCCATGCTAATGTAGTGTAGGATGAGGAAAGTCTAGAGATCTGCATTTCCACAGATAGACAATGGATTTAATAGGTTGCCAGTCTGTACTTCACCAAACGATTCATGTGCTAAGAACTGTTAAGCCTAAAACAGCACAGAAAAGTTAAACTTCACTGACTTTCTAATGGCTTTGGTGCACTGCAACAAACCAAGAATAGGGAAAATCCAATGCTGAGTGGGATACTCGGAGCATAAATCTGTTTAAGGAAACTCAGGCCAACAAGGAGATCAAAAGGCTACAAGAGAAAGCCAGAAACATTCTGGACTACTTGGAGGGCCACAATCCCAAAATACCTTTCACTCCCCTCCCCGCCCCCCCCACCTCTTCTCTGAAGCAGTGTCTCACATGCAGTTACATTTTTTTTCCCCAGTTGATGCAAACATATATTATGCTTTGTTCAGGAGTTACATACATTTGTTCTAAAAATTTCTTTACAAAGTTTCAGTGTCCCATTGAAAAGCAAAGCATAGACCTTTTGACTTCACATCAATAAAATTCTAGGGAACATGCAGTAATTGCTGGGAAAGCCAGCAGAATTGCCACTTATTTCAGAGTCTTAGCAGGCAGACTGACAAACCATGCCCATACACGTGAAATGCTAGATGGAAGATGAGAGTCTTGTGAATGTGCCTGAAAGCCCACTGCTGGAGGCAGCATCTAGCTGCTGAGGCACACCGTCCTTCAACATCTGTGTCTACAAGAGCAGGCAGGTGATGAGAGAGCAGGGGGACAGCCAGGTAAAGGCACTTTCAGATGCCACTTGGTATGTGGTCAAAAGCTAATGTTTTAGTTACACAATAACTCTGTAAAACAAAGTTCTCTATTGCCAAGAAGAACATTTCATATATGAGCTTATTACTCCCATATTTACAGGAAAATGCTAATCCAATCACAGAATAAGTTAAGGAAATGGTGCCTTAGAAGTCTCGTGATTTTTGTTACTCTGCCCATAACTTTTCAAGAAAAACCACCTTTTAGTCTTTGCTACTAAAGAGCTGACATTTTAATAAGCATATTAAAACCCACCAGTATGCTATGTTTTCCCTCCAACTCTTTTTCCGTCTTTGCTTTTTAGTATCTATTTACACAGTATATAAATTATTTTATAGGAAAAAAACCTGTCATTCTTTGCCTCCTCCCATACTAATCAGTCCAACCCATCACAGACTATGGCTATATTTGAGATTATAATTTGTGTCCATGGAAGTAATTCTGAAATCAAAAACCCCAGAGTGTGATGCCACAAAACTAGCTTGATCCAAGGTAGCAGATTAAAACACACTGGTTTTGTACACCATCATTAGAAATGTCACCATTAGAATAAAAACAGAAGAAAAAAGCATAATCTAAAGATATTCTTAGCCTGTCACCACTATTCTCTGAAGTTCCAGAAAGTTTCCTGAAACAGGCAGGTCCTCCAACATTCAGGAGCAAGAAAGGGACCAGAGATAAAGGGTCACCAGCTTAAATAAATACTGCAGCCATATCCTATTTGATCCTGATGGTTTCTCATTTTTCTGACAAGCCAGTAATAGACTGTTCCTTCTCTGCAGACTGACAGAACTCTATAACTCTGTATTTAACAAGGGACAAACAGCTTGTGTGATCACTAAGAGGTTAAGGACCCAAGACAGTTGCTTCCAACATTACTGTTCTAGATACAATGATTTAATTGATTCCATGATGCTGCTGACTATCAAAGACTAAACATACGCAGACAACACTAATACTGTAACATTAAAGGTAAGGCTTTTATTTAGCTTTATATACCATCTGTGCAAAGGCACCAGAGAACTCAACCTTCACACGAACACACACAGATTCCAGAACACACTAACAAAATCATCCTGTGTGCAAAACCAGGAATACCCATAAAAATTTTTAACAGTGTGAAAAGGCAATCTGCAGAGTGGGGAGGGGAGTGACTGCTGCATGCATGGACAGAATCACAGACAGGGGCAATTTCTGTATGCTTCCCTGCAGCTGCCGAATCTGGCTGCCATCGTGACTAACGTGCCAGCATCTGATTATCTTCTGAAAGGTCAGACTTAATTATCATCCAAGCTTTAAGGATATTAAATAGCCAAGCACAAAATTCACAACGGTTGTAACACATTGGCTCTTTTTCTGCCCAACACAAAGTAAAATGCAGAAATCTTTCATTATTTGCTCTTAATCAAATAAAGATTATTTAAAATAATAAAGATTCCTAACGTAAATGTAAGTGATCAGATATCACACTGAAGTTTCTTAAAGCAGCAACTCCAGCTGCTTTTGCAGCTTAAAATTTAATTGAAATATTGCTTTGCAGCATTTAATTCAGGGCTTGGCTAGGCTGTTAGCACCCTAAACACTGATGCTGACTGTATAATTTTTAATCCCTGTAAAACACTTGTAAAATTTAAATTTTCCAACATTCTGGAAATTCAGTATCATCCTTTTAAATAAAAATCAAACAGATTATTTTTAAAATTCACTTATGTTAGGCAAAATTAACTTGAGGCAACATTCCTCCCAAGCTGGTAATTACTGCGACTCTTAAGAAGCAGCCCCATATACAAGCCCTTCTAATTCAGCCACTTAAGTTTATTAATTTGCAGTGCTACAGCATCTTCTTTAGTTTTAATTATACATTAGATAGCCTTGCTAAAAAAAAACCCAAACAAACACAAAAACAAAACAAAAGAAGAAAAAATATAAAGAAGAAATCTAGTCTTTTGTTATATTTTTCATTTAAACCTTCATGCAGGTTACATGTCCTAGGAGCTCGCACATTTATATACACACCTACACCAACCCACATTCGTATAGAAAAAATACATTTCAGAGTATGTTCTTTTTCTTAGCCACCAATTTTTTTCTTTTCACTAAGTGATATGATCTAAAGACTCAGTAATCCCACTGCCATTAAAGCACCACATGGTGGAATATCAGGTGTCCGAACAATAATTTTGTGTCTTATTTACCTGGACCTCACTTGTCCTCTGCTTGATGGTATCTTCTTTCTCCTTCAGGTCTTGCTCTACATTATTCTTTTCCCTAGAAGACCAGCAAACAATGCAAGAATACTTAAGAACATCAGCTACAGCAGGTACAGTTATCCAGCCCCCTAAGCCTGTATCTCTCTTTAAATACATAGTGAAACATTAAACACAAAAGATGTAAGGGATTTCTGCTTTCCAAATTATTTACAAGACAGAAGCCCACATAAGTGTTCTGCATAAAAAAAAAAAAAACCTGTCTTTTCACCCAACTGCACTTCAGTGATAAGAATGGCTCAAAAATGGAAGGGGGCGGGAGGGAGAAATCAATGAAATACTGTCTCCAGTGATCTCACTGTTGCTATGGAGCACTTGTCTAATGAAAACTGCTAAGAAAAGTGGGAGGGATTGCATCAGATTCCATCTATTAACCCCTGCAAACACAGTAATTCCTATACTAACAGCAGCCAGAAAACATTTCCAGCAGGCCAATCTAGCTGATTAAGGAGCTTTGCCTGTCAGATTTTAGATACATCTGTTGGTAAGCTCAGTCAGAAGAAGAAAGGTTAGCTTGCTGTAATCACTATCTGCTCAGAGACTCCATATGTAGTTATTTGCTGTGTCATATCAAGTCTGTCTCTACAGACATTTATTCAACTTTAAAAGTGACTCCTGATGACAGGGGAATTATCAATAAATTCTTGGTGGTCAGACATAATAATAGCTTTAATAAAGGGAAGAAAACAGCATAAAACTCAGAAGTGTTACTGTTTTAAAAAAATCATAAGTGTTCATCTCTAGACAGTATATGGAGGTCTTCTCTCCTTTCACAGATGCAGAAATGCATTAAGCTTTACAGTTTTAACACTATCTTCTGTATACAGATAGATTTTACTTTCATAAAGATTTTGTTAATGAATTAGCACACACATTAAAAGTTAGACTTTGAACAATGATAAACCTAACATTTCTAAATGAAATACCATAGTGAAAAGCTAACAAATTATGTTACTAGTACATACTGAAATTAAGGTAGCTTCGTATTTTAATAGCAGCAGATTGGTAATCAATCTAAAACTATTAATCTTATTGTTTACTCTTATCTAATACAGAAGAAAGCATTTCTGTCTCCAGAGTAAAGCAGGTCTACTCTAAGTTCTCTTTACTCAAGCTGATGAATTCTTGTTTACTGCTAAACCACATACAATGGAAAATAAAAAAAAATCCCGATATCACAGATCTTAAATGAACATTTGCTCTGAAAAATAATTACTATAGATTATGTTCTGCTATTATTTATCTCAGTATCTGATTAAAGAGCAACTTGCTGATTGCAACCAAAGGGAAGGTTTAAATGGAAGGGAAAGAACAGGTACGGAAAGAGGGACTTTGAAGAAGGCAGCTGGTTATTTTGTTAAGTGTGAACATTCAAGTTTCATAAAATTCCTCACTCTCCATTCATCACACGGAAGTATCACAGAAATTCTAAGCAAATCTAAATCTTTACCATTTCCATCAAAGCTGTAGCACACTCCTCTAGCTCAATAAACTAGTATTTGTAGCATAGTTGTACTTAGATATTTAAAGCATTGCAACACAGGGTTGAAACAAATTCTGTTGATTTTGCCTTCCATAACTTTCCATGAACAAAGGGTCTCAATCTCAATAAAGCACTTCCACAGATCTAAATACCAGTCAGGCTGAAAAATACCTTCAAGCCCCCAGACACACATCAAACACAGCAAGCATTCAGGCACATTATTCCTGATTGAAGATAAAAGAGAGTAATTGACTAGGTAAACAAATACTTGTTAGCTTTCCTGCTTGGGTATGAAAACTGAGCAGGAAATAGAAATGCAAGCACGTATGTATGCTTTAATATACAGTCTTTCCACATTACTGTCACTGATACGCCTAAGAGACTGTCGGAGATGAAGATCACTTCCCTTTTATTTCAACAGAAACCAGATCCCTAAACCTTGCAATCTGGACTATGCCAAGCAAGCAACAGGATATAATACCCACCCACAGGCAGACTTACGCTAGCCAAATCACAACACAAACAATGAATTGGAAAAAATCAAGTGAAAGAAGTATTGTCAGGCAGAACAAGAAAAGCTTAGGCAGCAGTCTCAGGCAAAGGAAAACAAGCCGAGTGTAGCCTACATATAACGCATCCCCTCCTCCCCCCCAGTAACGCGTCTTTGTTTCAAAAAAAAAAAAAAAGAAAAAAAAAGAAAGAGACAACACAGACCTACTTAATTCACTAATTCTTCTGAATGCCTCCATTTCTTTTACAAACTATCTGGTATGCCCCTGTAGGAATGCTCAGCAACTGAAAGAACCGAAAACAAGTAACAAAATTGATTTATTGGATATGATGGATTTCCTGAATCATAAAGTCCCTTACCACATCAGCACTTGGAGAAAAAAAAAGAACAACCCAAAACCAACTGTGGTCTTGCCAATAAAGGACACTTGTAACCACTTCAAGTCAATTTATGAAAGCAATATAGTTTCCCTATGTATTTTAATAGTAGTCAGGTCAGGAGAACCTCACATCAAAAGAAATTAAAAGCAATGATTAAAAACTGCCAAAATTAATAGACGGTTTCTCCAATGCAGATACTTCATGATTTACAATCAAATAATCGTAGTAAATCCATAATTTTTATACTAATTTGTGAATGGAGTGGTTTATAAATGGGAGCCAGCATATTGCAAATATTTGTGATAGCTGACAACTGAGGCATCCCCCTGTCAGTAGAGGCATTCAAGCCAAATATAAAACAACCCTGGCCAGGCTTCTTGATGGCCAACACTTAGAACCACGTTAGTTACAAAAGCAAAAAAAAACATAGTTCTTTTCTGTAATAAGTGACAGATGACTACTCACAGAACTGGTAGCATTATCTACACTCACAGTTGCCCAACATTTCTTATTTTCAGATGCATTTGTAATTTTGGGAATCCCTAGTATAGTAGTACTTCAGTTTGGCAATGCTAGGGAAAAAAAAAAAAAAAAAAAATCTAGGGTTTGCCTAGTTTCTTCTCCCCTTTGTTCCCCCCAACCTTTTCAGCCGCAACAGCTCAGTTACTTCCAAACCAGAGGTTAGAAGAAATAATCTAGCCTATGATAAAATTTTTACCATTGCTTTGCTAAGAAGCTGTAGATCTTTCCTTACTTTTGAGAGACCAATTTACCAGCTTTATGGTCCTTTTAACCCAAATTATATTCAAGACAATATAACTGTTGCTGTCCAACATATGTGAAGGATGGCACCTCTGGTGAGATAATACTAAGTTAAGCTCAACTACTTAACATGCTTAGAGAGGAATGTAGTATTGGTAAAGCTTGAAGAAATTCACAGAATCACAGAATGGTTTGGGTCAGAAAGGACCTGTGTAAAGATCATCCAGTCCATCCCCCCTGCCCTAGGCAGGGATATCTTTCACAATTCCACTGATTTGTGGGCCGTAGCTAGCTTTGAATGCACGAAAGCAAAGCAGGGTTTGCTGGGGAAGAAAAAGGTTTTGTGGCTCAAAAAAATAATATTAAGAACATCTGGTCTAGCCTCCCACAATGCTGATCAAAAAAGCTTCAAATAGCTTTCTAAAAATATAGTGCAACTGAAACAGAACTTACAGGCAGCAGTGCTGACAGGCTCAAAATGATGCAGATTCCACAACGTCCCTAGGCAAATCATTCCCCCTACCAGAGAGGAACTATCCTCGCTAGTAAGTGTTCTGCATTTTATTCTTCATCTGATCCTCAACCTCCACCTTCCTGACAGTGTTTTTACTGAATTACATTAAAAAGCTATTGGCTACCAGAAATCTTTCCCACACAAGCTGTTGAGACACAAACACATCACCTCTGTATTCTTTGCTCAGTCTCTCAAAAAACTATGTTTTCCAGACATTGTCATTATTTTGAGACACTTCCTCTGCTGCCTTTTTTTTTTTTTAAAGTGCACTTCAAAAATAGATTCAATTTCTATTAGAAGGTCTCAGAAATGCAGCTCTCATGGATACTTCTCAATGGAACCATGGGCTAGAATTATTACATATTGAGTTCAACAGCTGAACAATATATCGTGTTTAATAATGAACAAAAATAACTTAAGTTTAAATTACATTTTTATATGATAACTATCAAGACTGAAAGTGTACTTCACCAGATAACAGAAATGTGGATTTGCCAAAGATGAAAAAAGTTTCCTACGTTTACCACAGATTAATCTGTTGCCTAGCATTGCCACCTGTGCTTAGGGAAGGTACAGAAAAGTAATCTTTACTCTGCTACCAAAATAACTCTTCTACAGTGACTAAAGGATTTCCAAGTAATCAAAAAATTAATTTTCTTGAGAAAAAATTAAAATGAAAAAATTTTACTTGAGCCACAACTCATTTTGTGACATTGAGAGTTTGCTAGTCATTCTCACTGAAACCAAACAAACCTCTTACTATTACCCTTTGGTTTGACAATACAGGTTTAAGCCTCTGATTGTTCATCTAGTTCTGTCCTGAACCTCTAAATCATATCAAAGTAAATTTCCTTTCTAAAAATAAATACATACTAATAGTTGCCCCTACCATATCTTCAACAACCCAATATCATTCAAATATATCCTAAATAATTGTCCCAGTATATTTGCCACTGAAGAAGTGGAAGCAATGACTGTCCAAAGGCCATGGTTCCCTCATACCTCACAGTAAGAAAAGAAAACAAGACATAAACAGACTGACTTGCATGTTAGGCTGCAAGCCCACCTACTGAAAACTGACTCCATCTAAAAATTCATGCTATTGAACAATTTATTTCCCTCTAAGATACTAACAGCAAATATACACGGTTGTAAATCATATTTCAGGTTAATAAATGTGAAAGTCCAAAATTGGAATTAATACAACCTAAAGAACAACAGAGGAAGGCAGAGCAGGGAGAAGTGAGGAGGCAGTGGGAGTAATAAGAGGCAGAATAAGCAGATGAAGTGAAAAAACATTTATGTATTTAGGAAACAGACTGTGCTTTGACACATTGCCAAATTAAATCATTCTTGCAAGTGACATGAATAAGACAGGCAAACTTCATCATGAGAAAGCATCCTCACTTATAAAATAGTAGAATTAACTGTTCTTAATAGAATTTTCAGTAGATTTATGATACTACCAAAAAAAAAAAAAAAATCGCTGAAGAAAAATATCTGCTATGTCTTGAGAGTATGACAAAGACCATACAACATATATGAACTTGATTTTCTTAGTCATTTGAAGTCACCTTCTTAATTACCTAAGAAATAAT